ATGTATAGCAATTAGAATTTTTGCCAGTGTCTGCAGACACATTGCTTTGGAAAAATGTATATATTTGCATTTCAAAACAAAGATCTACATTGATGCTGCAGTCCACAATTTGGTATTCTTTTATTTTGCTAAACTGGCCAGGTATTCCTCTAGCTTGTGTACCTACAGGTCTCCTCATAAAGCACATGGATGTTCTTAGGCAGGATAATCTAATGGATAAGAGCTCAGGCTTTGGCATCTGGACCTGGGTGTGAATCATGGTTCTGCCAATTAGAGAAGGGGCATGTGGCAGGTCATTTAAATTCTCTAAGCTTCAGTTTTCTCATCTATAAAATTAGGATAACAATAGAACCAACCGTATAAGGGTTGACAGTTCAACACGGGTCCTCTCAGCCATACTCAAAAACTAGTTTTGAAATGGAATCTAAGACACTAATAGTCATCATGTTAAGGTGTGAAGTGACATGGGATAGATGAAAGTGCTTTGAAAAGCTTAGACCACTCTGATAATATTCTGAAAACACACCCTTATGTGTTTTTCCTGCAGATGAATTCAGATGACTGCCAGACTGACTTTGGGAAAATACCAAATTTGTCACACTAGTAGATATATCCAGTTCAAAATAGCATAGTTAAACTTCTGCTTGGATGCAATTCCAACTTTTTAAACATTAAATTCAATATTGAATGGAAATCAAGCTTCACTTTTTTGCAAGAAATATAGGTCTCTGTCTTTGATGTCTTCATAGACCTGGGGTTCTCCATGGCAGTGGGGTTCCATCAAAAGAGGACCTCTTTTGATGGAACACTTCTGTCAACTAAAAAAGTGGGGAGACATAAATCTCGACAAGACAAGCATTATTTATTTATAAAATGCCCACAATGTTTGTGTTAATATATTCTATACATTAAGAATATACACAAAGAATAGAAAGTTTTATATAATGAATAAGTAAAAATAGTGGTTGCCAATTTTTCTTTGCATATTCCAATGGACTACCTTGTCCTCCTGATGGGATGTGCACATCCTACCTTGGAGATTGCTGCTTACTCTTAGTGGAACAAGAATAAATGATCTATTAAAACAATGAGATACTACTGCACACTTAGTAGAATAGTTAAAATCCAGAACACTGAAAACATGAAATGTTAATGAAGGATGTAGAACAAGAAGAACTCTCCTTCATTGCTGGTGGGAATGCAGAATGGTATAGCCACTTTGGAAGACAGTTCGACAATTTTTCACAAAACTAAACATAGGCTTATCATATGATCCAGCAATCATCCTCCTTGTATTTACTCAAATGAGGTAAAAACTTATGTCCACAAAAAAATATGCACATGAATGTTTATAGCAGCTTTATTCATAATTGCCAAAACTTGGAAGCAACCAAGATGTCCTTTGATAGGTGAATGGATAAATAATCTGTGGTAATCTATACAATGCAATATTATTGAGAGAGAAAAAGAAATGAGCTATCAAGCCACAAAAAACATGGAGAAACCTTAAATGCATTTTCCTAAGTGAAAGAAGACAGTTTGTAAACGGTGCATACTGTATGATTCCAAGTATATGGCATTCTGGAAAAGGCAAAACTATAGAGACAGTAAAAAGATCAATGGTTGCCAGGGTTTCAGATGGGGGATGGGAGGGAAGATAGGTGGAGAAAGGAATAGGTGGTGCACAAGGCATTTTTAGAGCAGTGAAACTATTCTGTATGATACTGTAACTGCAGCTACATGATACGCATTTGTCAAAACCCACAGAATGTACAAGGCAAAGAGTGAACTCTAATCTATGGACTTTACTTCATAATAATATATCAATAGTTATTCATCAGTTATAACACATGTCCCACAGGAATGCAACATGTTAATAATGGGAGAAACTGAGTGTGGAAAAGAGGGGGCATATGAGAACTCTGTACTTTCTGTGCAATTTTTCTATAAACCTAAAACTGCTCTAAAAAATAAAATCCATTTAAAAAGCACAGACTAAAAAAAATAGCCTCTTCAATTGGGTTTGACTTGAGTGGCTATTTGAGAATGATGATAGCCACCAGGTTGAAGTTCTGGCGGACCTTGATTGCAACATGATACGGAAAAGACTGTTTCCTAAACATTCTCTTCCAGGTAAAAGACTGGGTTCCCTTTGTGGAAAGACTTATGACTTTCAGCAGGTCAAAAATGAACCTTTTTTTCTAATATTTACAGGCACACGACCATGAGCATCTCACTCAACTGTTGTGAGTCTCAGATTCTCCTTCTGTAAAATGGAGATAATTGTATGATATCTAACCTCAGAAGGTTAGTGTAAGAATTAAATAGAGGAGATGTATGTAAAAGACTAGCCAGCAGTGGGCACCAATGAATGATGGTTTTTGTTAAGGAAATCCAAGTAATTATGTTCTAAGAATCTCACCATTACGTATTCTACCTTGGCTTATACGCTTATTGAAATTAAGAATCATGATGTCTATTAAAAATTCTCTCAATGACACTCAACTTTACTGAACCATGGGAAATAACTGGGAACTGTAATAGTTCTAAGAAATCAAAGAAAATGAGGTTAACGTAAATAAAAAAGAAGTTACCTACTGGCTTTCCCAATTAATTAGCATATGCACATTCAATTATTCATACCTTAGGGAACTCATTTAGGCAATCAGGTGTCCCATAAATATTCATCTTATTTACCTTCAGTGTCTCTGTCGTTAGGATTGGAAATTGGCAGTGTTTTCTCAATATATTTCACAACTGGTTGCTTTGAAAAAAATTACCTTGCTCTGACTAGACTCCTATGCCATTAATGGTGAAAATGATCCGCCACATGAATGTTGAATTGAAAAAGGGATGCTCTGTGCTCCTCGTCATCTCCTGGCTCGGGCCTCTATCATCTACCGGAGATGCGTGAGCTCTCTCAGTGGGCCGGTGATGGACTGCAGAGGTGCCATTCCGAACTTTGGCCACTAGCATGTGCTCTTGAATAGTTTTTCATGGCAGACAGGCCCGGGGCCCACAGGAACTGAGAGGTTACGCCTCTGGTTCTAATTTGTGGAAGAGGCAGAAAGAATGAGATTTATAAGTGTGAAAGCATTGTGCCACCAACACAGACCTGACCTCATATAAGCAGTCTCTTCAGGATACCAAGAATGGCCCAGAGAGCATTCGCAGAGGGGAAGGTGCCCTCAGAAAGGGCCACATAATTTGCAGGAATCAGTGCAAAAGGAAAACACAGGACTGCCTGTTCAAAAATTCAGAATTTCAAGACAGCAACAGTGGGACCCTTCTAAACCTGAGGCCTTGTGCCAGGGCATGGGTGGCACAGCCTGGAGGCCAGCCCTGTGTGCAATATACCGATTACCTTCTCCCCCACTGCACAGCCTCAGACAATGAAACAGGGATGAGAGACCCTTCTTGGTTATTAGGAAATCAGTTTTGCGTTATAGATACTATTTCTTGAGGGCTTATTAGAGCCAGACCTATGCTAGACTCTGACATTATCTCTAACCCGTATGATATACCTCCAAAATAGACTTTCAGGTCTCCATTTTACAGGTAAAGAGACTGAGTTTTAGAGAGAGCCAGTGACTTGCACAGAGCTTGTAAATGACTGAATCAGGGTGGAAACCTTGGGTCGTCTGTCTGGCTCCAAAGCCCATGTGCTCCTCATGTGGATCATGTTGCTTTGCAGAGTTGGAACCTACGAACATCTGAAATATAGCATGTGCAGTTGCGGGGGTAACTTTTCTATTTAACATAATTTTATTTGCCTGTAAAGATTTTGCAACACTCCTCAGCTCCCCTCACCAGGCCTTGCACTCCCTTCTTCCAGCAATAGGAAACCCTGCAAAAAACATTTACGGAGCAAATTACAAGTGTTGCTTCCACCTCTTGCCCTCCAGGCTGCAGACAAAAGCTCTTTTCATTGTGTCAAAGGGATACAGTGAGCCGAATAGTATAAACTATCAGGACGATTTCGTTTCCAAAGAGGAGCCTAGTCTAAACGTTTTTGATCCACACTTGAAATAAATCAATGTGGTGCAGGATGGGTCATGAAAGACCCTTTGAGAAGGGAAAAGTCTTCAGAATATTGAGTGGGGCCAAGTCTTCCTTAACTTTCCCACTCACAAATTCTGTAAAAACCAAGGGCAGAGTCAGGGGATGATATCAAGGAACAGCCTATTGAAAGTCTTTTCTTGCTTAATGGTAAGGAAACAATTCTAGAATGTCCCCACCTTTGGAAAGGAAGGCTCCTTTTGTTTGAAGCTTAGCAAAGCTACTTTGGTTGCCATGAAGACAGATTCAGTACGAAGGACCCTTTTAGGCTGCACTCCTCTTGGAAGCCAAGGCCCCCTCGCAGCCAACAAACAGCGTGAGTAGCCCAGCTTTCCCAAAGCTCGGCTGCTCGTTAGAGCCATCAGTTAACCCCCTGCCCCTGCCCGTTGCCTGCTTATTGTAATTAATTTTATGGCCCCTTTAAAAGAAGGGAGAGAAAAGAAAAGGGAGACCTCTACATTTTATGCTACATTGCACAAGCAATTGAAAGTTGCAGGGAAAGAAGAAAAAAAAATCCAAGCACCAAATGTTTAGCAGGCTTTTCTTCTATTTTAAATGAGCAACCTATTTAAATCAATTATCAGCTCAAAATGAGCAGGCTGATCTAATTAGTCTTGGCCCCTGGTGGGTTGATGAATGAAAGGGAGGTGCTGGGTAGATGTGAGCTTTCTCTGGAGTCTTCGGAACTGACCACACTCACACAGACCCCTTCTGGGTTGCTAAGTCTTATCAGGCAGAATTACAGAAAGAAATAAAGAGAGACACAGACTGAGAGAGTGGAATGAGAGAATGAGAGGAATAGGGGAGAATTATTAGTTCCATCAACAGAATGACTAAGCATTACATGGCATATTTTCATCCTGTGTTTTACACAGCGGTGATCATTACCGTTTGATAAGTAGTTCAGAATTGTAAATAAATCAATTTGTGTTTTCTTTCAGCATGTTTGAAATGGAACAATGTATTGACTTCAGGAGAAAACATGCTGGTGAGTGATGACAGCTCCGGCCCTGAATCTTGGCACGTATAACCTCCTCCCCTCTCCCGCCCCATCATGTCTCACCCTTTATTTAATCATATTGGCCTCTGGACATTAATATATGATTAATTAAGAAACTAATATAAGGAAGCAGGAGTGGGAAATATGATGAACAAGTTTGTGAGTGCTGGACTGGAAGGTCTCAAGTTTCCTAGGATGTTTTTTTAATACATCTTTTCGAGTATTCCTCCGAGCAAGGAAGTAGATATTTGCTTTTTGGGTTATGACATTTCTTACCCCAAATGTTAACTCTCTGGTAAATGTTACAAGTATTTACGGTTTGAGAATCTGATGTCCATTATTTTGGGTTACTCCTTTCTAATGGAAATCATATGGGCCTTGAGGTCGGGCAGACCAGCTGTGCTGCTCAAGTGCGTGACCTTAGGTAACTTTCTTCCTAACTCTGAGCCTCAATTTTCTCATCTTTAATATGGGGACAATCTCACTCAGTTGTCCTGAGAATTGAGATGGTGTATGTAAAGTGGCCACTATATGTGCCTACCTCTCTCCTTCCTCATCGGAAGAGTGTACCTAAGGATGTTTTGGCAAAGGGCAAAAGTGACCCTGAGTTTTTCAAAATAAAGCAATAGGGTGTGAATTTTTCTGCGTTGATTGTTGCTTGAATGAGGTCACTTTTTCAAGACCCTATTTGAAGGGATGATAAAAATGAGTCTCAGGTCACCAAGCTCTTCCCTCCAATTGAGGATGGGGAATAGACAGGGAGACTCCAGAGATGCCCCGCTGTTTAATGGATGTAGCTGACGGGTATTTCTGGATTAGAAAAACATCAACAAAAAGCTGAAAGGAGCCATCACTGTCATTGGGTTTTCAGGAGGGCAGTCATCACCGGGTGGGGTTGGGGGTGAGGAGGCTGAGGGAGGGTGTTGAGGCTGCCAGAGCCGAGCCTGTGTTGGAAGGAAGCAAAAGGCTTGAGGAACTGGTCTAAGACATACCACTAGGTATGCAAGAACCACTCTCCATGACTGCTTTACCCGGTCCTCCTCCCGCCACGGGATTTTATTTCATCAGGGTCAGAGATTTGGGAACTATCGGATCATCTTTGGACTACAAATTATGTTGGCTTATGTGGCAAGATCTTATATTGCTGCAAAACAGCTATATCCTTGAAGTTATTTCTAAGAACTCAGTCTTTAATCAGTGAAATGCCCAGAAACGTTGGCCTTTGCAGAAATCAAAATCCCATCGTGTCATGACTGCTTTGGGAAATCAGGGTTTTTTTCACAAAGCACCCAATCTCAGCGAAGAGAGAAATACCATTCCTCTTATCATGGGTTGTTTTAGGATGGGAAGTCTTGCAGTGAAACTACAAAATGCCTTGTTAGAGCTGAAAGTGGTAAATTTTGGAAGATGAGGGAAAACTTTGCAGAATCTCATGTGAACTGGATTCTGGCTTTGTGGGGCAAAGAGTGGGCGTGGGAGCATTCAGGAGCACTTACAAAGGAATGCTGGAAATAATTTGCTATTTGTAGAGACACAGAACGACAGAGAGAAAAAAGAGGAGAACAATCTTTTGCAGCCAGGAAATGCAAACTTTGTAGTTGATCATAGTCTCAACATGGGTTCTTACAATGATTTATTCAATTAACCTCTTGCCTGTAACCCCCCATCTTTACATAAGCAGAATCTGAGAACGACAATTATAACTTTGCTAACGAGAAGCTGGGTAAGTATTAAGTGTGTAAAACTCCCACTATTGGAGCCTGGTAATTTTTAAACATATAATTACCTCTTTTATTATACTTTGATTAGATTAAAATTAATGTATTATTAAGTCATGATATGTTCAACCATCTAGACCTCTGTATAGACATAGATAGCAATTCCTTTTTTTCCCCTTCCCCAGGTCTAAGTTAATTAAATTCCCTTTAATTATAATTTACTAAAAAGCTTCACTTTTGCCACTATTATGTCTTTTGAACTTTGAAATTTGAAAAAAAAGGACCTTAAAATGGTCTTTTACAGGAGAAATGAACTGTCAGCGAATTCAGGCAAAATTAATTATTTCAGCTTGATAAACCTTTTCATCTATTTGACTCCTTATACAGAAAAGCCAATTAATAATGTCAAACATGCTTTGCCTCCAGGGACCTGCAAGTTCTAATGAGTCTGTTTACTGTGGAGTGGCTAGCAGAATGAGCTTCATGTAGAAATTTTCTAATCGCGCCACACCTGTCAAGCTCAGTCTCATTATCTGTGTACCAAGGGCAAACCTCATTTTGTCAGTAGTGGTTTTCGAAGAACTAACAGATGCCTGGGGGAACATGCAGGACTGTCCGCCAGTAGACGAGTCACTTAATTACCAATCAGAGCAGCCGAGGTGAATGCCTAATGCTCCTTAGTCCCGACCTTCTTCATCCCAACTCCACGCGCCCATTTATCGGAGACCGGGAGGCTCACTTCTTCTCAGCGCCAAGGGCTCATCTACCAAGACCTCTTTCTCCTGGGTGCTCTGAGGTGGTGATTGATGAGGCGCCTCTGGAAACAGTGATTAATCAAATGTGTATTGTATCACAAGTGGGCAAATCCGGGAAGCTTGGGCTCCACCTGCCTGGGAGCTGATAATTGTTTGGTTGGAGGGGGTGGAGCCTGTAGCTGAGGGTGTTGACACAGCCACCCCTAAATGAGACCACATATCCCCTCCCACCACCCATATGCCTCTTGACTTTTGAGAAGCCCAAATATGCAGATATTTGAAAGCAGGCAGGGTTCCAGCATTCTGAAAAATGCACATACTTGAGAACAGTGCTTCTCAAAATTTGACGTGCCTACGAAACACCTGGGGATCTTGTTCAAACCAGTTTCTGATTCAGTGGGTCTGGGCCTGAGATTCTGCATTTCTAATCAGCTGATGGTGATGCTGCAGGAGTGTGGACCGCATCTGGAGGCCAGGGTTGAGACCAGTGATCTTGGACAAGCTGTTTAACCTTCCTGGACCTTAGACTCCTACTACTGTAAAACATTACAGAAGATTCAGTTTCTCCGTACTGCCTTTAGAAGAACAGACAAGCTCCATCATGAATGAAGATGGCCTCCCATGTTCACCTCCTGGTTGCCTCGGTCCCTTCACTGCAGCCTCTTGGAGCTCCCTGCCATCACATGCTGCCTGAGTCAGGCTCTCCTACCTTCTCACTTGGCCAGTTCCTCCCATTTTCATTCAAGACTCTGCTCAGGCATTGCCTCTGACAGAGTGCCTTCCTTGACTTTCCTCCCCATAGCTCCAGAAGGACTTAGGGGTCCCTCCTTTGTGCTTGACGCACTTTTTTTGGCCTCATATAGGCCCATATTACCCTATGTTGTCATGAACCATTTCATCATTCACCTCTATCGTTAGGTTGGGAGCTCATGAGGAAAACTATCTGTAGCTCGAGGCTCCTATTCCTCACCTGTCTCCAGAATCTGCCTTCTTTTCCTGAACCCCACTTCCTCTGCCTTAATCACAGCATTCATAGTTTCTGAACTATTGCAGCAGGATTCTCCTTCCTGGTTTCTCTGATTCTAGTATCTTTCTTGTCTAATCCATTCTTACCACTGTCACCAGAATCATTACCTAAAATTGAACTATGCCTCTGCAGACCATAAGCTTCCCCACTCCCCCCTCACCCCCTCACCCAAGCTTAAACTTGCCTGTTTCCCTATCCCCGAGAAGGGATCATACCAGCTGCCAGCTCTGAGTTCTGGAGAGCAACATACTTCCTCAGTCTCTTGTTTGAAGAGAATTTGTCTTGGCTAGGTCCAGAGCCACAGCTCTCGAGGTGACGTTATATATAATGTCGCATCATGCCCGGGAACGACTGAGATTTGACGAGCAGCCCAGAGAGGCAGTCAGACTCAGGGCTTAGATGTTGAAGACTCCCGAATTCAAAGTGGAAGTCTGCCATTTATGGCATCTATTCCTGTTCTGGCTCAGGTTTCACTTTTGTAAAATTGAAGGGTAATATCTGCTCACCTATCCTGATAAGAATCAGAGGTAAAATTTAATAAGTGAAAGATATTTATTACTATTTATTGAAATAATCTATGAAAGGGATTTGACATTAGATGGTACCATCCATGAGGAAGGCACCAGTATGATGACTTTTCGATTTATTGACAAATGTTTTCCTTCTGTCTTCTCTGAGCAATGCAGTGTCACTGAGCCATGTGCTTAAGGTCCAAAAGGAATCAGGCAGATCACATAAAATTGGGAAGTGGGCTTTGAGGAAATCAAACGTGGTTAACCTCTCTTTTCATTAGCTTTATTTCCCCAGGAAAACTGTGTTTCTGGGGAAATCTCCAAGTGTATCTGATTCAGCCAGAGCCTTCTAATTTCTTAGCCCAGGGAGCAAAAGAAAGCTGGAAAATGGAGCCTGATTAATTCTGTCAACACTCTACTAGATTGCTTTCTATGCTGCCCTCCTGTTGAAAGTTGGGCAGAGAGATGGCTGGATGCCAAGGGATTCTTCTGTCCTCTGTATGCTTCAGCCAGGCTGACATTGTGTCTCCCTTAGACCTTCAGACTGTTGGCCACCAGAAAATAACCCCAGGCACTTTGCAGTGATTAAAAAAAGTTTTGAGTAGTTTTTCACATTGTCCTCTTTCAATATGTGGAAAAGGCTTAGTCCGTTCTTAAGTATGATGTTTTACCATATTGATGTCAATTTGTTCACCAAAGAGTGCATCTCTAATTTTATAATACAATCAAGAGGGAATTAGGTCTTCATATAGAAAGCAGTCACTTTAGAGCTGTGTCTTTTGGGCCAGTGATTTTCATACCAACTTCTTTGAAGCCTGGGGTTTCCAAGGAAAAGCCTTGAGACTGTCAGAGGGATGGAATGAATGAGGAGCTGGAGCCTCAGCTTCCCCTTCCTAGTTTCAATCAAGTCTGCCTGTATTTGTTTTATATATTGGGGTTCCGTTAAGATTTTATTTGAAAAAGGGTGCTGTGACTT